CTGCCGCCTTGACGTTCAGCCGGGGACAGCACTCGAAAAGGCCAGCTTCTGCCCGCCCTCGAAGTCGTTTCGGCTCCTCACGAATGCATGCGCGCTGCAGGTATACATCAGGATGAACCCCGATTACCAGCTGCCAAAGCAATCCTGCTCCGCAAGTTCTGCCTGACGACGCGCGAGCTTCTGCCTGCAACATTGTATGTGCAACAAACCTTGTCGCACTTGAGAATCTGATCATGTCCGATGCACACCGCCTTAAAACGAATGAATTTTCTACATGCCTGTCCAGGCCAGCAGCATCTGCAGCGGCCATTCCTGATGCATGCAACTTTCCAAATTCTGTGGTGACGTAGGGTATATTATAAGGTTCGTGAGTTCAGAATAAAACGGATTCGGCTACTGTGGCCTCACGATATGTGCAGTCCGATTTCCTGCGCTTGGGGATTTAGGATGTGGTCTTGGAGTCTGGAGTGGTCTTCGTTTGGTGTGTTGTTCTGCCTGAAGGGCCTCTTTGCATACTCCTTGGAAAACTGAGCGCAGAGCTAGGACCGCTTGCCTGCTGTCGTGGTGCGTACAAGCTTTTCAGGGTCGTGAATCCGAAACGAAGATTTGAATCTGTAGCGGGTGGACTGCTGCGTGGTCTTTTGCTGTTTGGGGTTTACGGCGATTTTTTCGCCTGTCCCAAGCGCAAATGGGATTGCATCTAATGCGAAGCATTTCAGGCGCCATCGGCGCCTCATAACTTCGGCCTTGAAGTCTAAGACTAAGATATTCGCTAATGGCCCTTTCTCTTTGCGACCCCAGTGGAAATACCAGGTGTAAGTGTACAAAACACGTTCATACCTAAGCCGTTTGCACTGACCAAAGGTAAATGTCGCATCACTGCCTTCGGAAGGACTATCCTTCATGATCTGAGCCACAGCCCTGGATAGTAGCTTTCCATACCGGAGCGCGTGTTGCGCAAATGCGCAACTTTCTTGGTATCCTCTTCGCTATACTCGTCGAGGGCGGCTGCATACCCATGCGGCTTCGCGAGCGCGGTCTTGGAGGCACTTCCTCCGGGCGGTGCCGGGCTTCAACTCGCCACTTTCGGGCTGCTCGGGTTACCACGCAAACGACAGCCACTCTGCCTCGCCAGCCCCGTGGTCTACTGAGACATCAGTTCCGTCAACGGCGATTGTAAGATTCGACTTTGTACTCTTGCCTCCGGACTTACCTCCTGGTTTTCTTGCATTATCGCCTTTAACCTGCTGAAATGCGTGTTGTGCGGCATAAGCTATTTGCATCCGCCTCCTCCGCCTGTAGCGGGAACGCTTGGCGTCGTATCTCTTTTATGAGACGGTCTATATGCCATCTGGATCCATCTGGCTTGAACAGGCGATCGAGACCTATGTCTTGAGCTATGAGGAATGGGTCACCTCGGCGTCCTTTCAAGACTTTCTGGACGTCCAAATCCTCATCGCGGACATATTTGATCGTGATCGTTGCCGCTGCTGGCTATGCGACCGCCCGCCGTCCGAATCACTTTCCTCTTCCATCAAACATTAACATGGGTGACTCGGCCACGACGAGGTCCCATCATCTTCGACTTCGTGTGCCGGTGGCTCCTTTACAGGACGGTCTCTCCCCTTAGCACTGGAGGGGCTCGCAGGAATGCCGCTGCTGGCCTCAATCCGCTGCGGGATGGCAAACTCCTAACGTGTCTGCTTCACTACGCATGTTCTTCCCTCTCCCTTTCCTGGGAGATTGCGACTGCGCTTTCTTCATAAACGCACAGAGCCTCGCATGTCTTGCAGTACTTCGCGATGCCGACGCTCCTTGTGTTGGAGGACGTTGGAGGACGTACAAAACTCCCAGTCACTGTGCCGTACCGTGGAAAATAAACTTACGAGCCATTCTTGGTTTCGGAGGTGGACCTTGCTTGCGCCATGCTCCTTGATACTTTCTTTAGACCGGCGACCGACATTGCGGATTGGACGGAGTACTGGAGTCAGGTTAGCGGAAGTAGCAAACTTTTTGATTTCGAGCCCAAGGCGCCTATGGTACGGTCATGTACGGTCGTTGAGCAATGCGACATCACTGTGCTAACGCTGCATCTATACACAAGCACATGACATCTGTCTGCTAGTCACGAATAGTTCAACTCGGTCGCCTGCTAGACGCAAACGTCAGGTGAGTTTCACAGCGGCTATTCCGGGACACTACAGTTTCAATTGTTTGCCAAATTGCATAGACCCGGCACTGAAGAGTGCCGTTTACAGATTCCTGAAAAAACACCAAGCAAACCGTAACCATTGCGGGAAACCTGTGTCTGTGTCAAAATTCACGCAATCTTGGCAGAGCTATTTGCACTTCTTGCAGATGATCTCTTACTGACTGTGGGAGGTATCTGTATCTGCTCAGGACCCGTCTGTTACCTGGCATCCACCTCTTGATCTGCCGGGCGATGGAACTGCACAGTCATCATAAGGGTCATTCTATGACAAGCCTATGCATCTATCTTTGTATCTGCCAACAGCTGCTATCTGAACAGCTCCTTCCGTTGCTTTCAAACTGGACTGGGGCGGGGGGGAGCCGAAGGAGAAGTTCTGCATCCGTTTTTTGTCAAGCTTAGCTGAATGTCAAGTTGTGTCATTGAGATGGGGGAGTCAGTATCGCGGCTGCCGAGCGCATTGTCAAGCGGTATCAGGAAAGGGTTGCGTTGAACCAGTGCCTTATCCAATCTTAACCATAATTTTCGTCAAGTGTTTCGGAAAGCAGTTTTGCACGTGTCATGCAGCATATTGATTTGGTGGATCAAGTAGCGTCAAGCATTCACGTGGACTTTGCTGGTCCACGAGCACGGCTCTCTTGAGCCTTTGGCCGTAGTTGGAGGAATGTCTAAGTGTGAAGGTGGATTTGGGCGAGGAATCCTTGGACTGTCATACGCAGATTCAGTAGGGATCGCAGATAATGGCTGTTAGATATGCCCAGCGCACAAACAGTCACAGAATGAAGAAGCTGTAGGCATGGCTGCCTTAAGCAACGACATGACTGTCGGTTGTCGGCTGTAGCTTGCGATTGGATATTCTTCAGCCCTTGGGCCCAAGGCTAAGGCCTGCAGCCATGACCGCGGCCTCTGCTCCAGTGGCATCAAGAACCTCGCCGTCCAGCGCATGCAGGCCACGCCACGTGCCCAAGCTGAGAGTGCTGGCCTCTGGCGGTTTGACGGGAGAGGCCACGACTTCCGTGACTCGGTTCACGCCTGGAAAACCGTACTTCGCCCCATCACGATCAACTGTAGCACGCAACGCACGAGCACCATCTCGGATCTCCCAGTCAGCTCTCGCAAAAGCGCGCTGAGCTTCCTTTATGGGCCTCTCGAGATCATTCGAAAGAGTCGTGTCATGATAGACATGATAGAGCAGCAGAACCGCACTGTGTTGTGGAACAATCCGGCGCAACTGGGAATGTGGCAGAACATCAGACAAGAAACTGACAAATGGCCCTGCGCCTGCGCACATGCTTCATGTGATCAATTGCACATCAACTTGGTGGGTGACCCCGTCAGGTAGTTTGTATGTGTAAGGCAGCCACGGGCTTTTGCAGGCACCGATACAGCAGCGGCAATCGCGATTATGCCTGCAGCCTCACCCCAAACCGAGAATCGAGACGAATCCACACTGATGCCTTCTTTGCTCAAATCGCAACAGACACACTTTCCATCCCTCTCTCGCCTCCCTTCGCCTGGAGGCTCTGCGAGCGTCCTTTCTACAAAAATTGCTTGGACAGGCTTTGCGTTTGCTGGGCGGTCATTGGAAGAAGACAAAGGTGCAAGATCCGAGCAGCAATTTTGTTGTCTCGGCCCTTTTTGCCAAAACAAGGCCGTGGATGGGTATTCAAGCTGACCCATCGCGCACCAAATAAACGCAACTATCCCGGCGCTTCCAACTTCCAACTTCTAGACTTTGGGAGAAGCCTTCAGCGCATCGACCACACCGCACCAGGCTTCCAGGCAAAATTGCACGTGACCAAATCCTGTATGAAGCCCCTAACTGGAAGCCGAGAGAACGTGTCATGTTCAGATAGTTCCCAACATTTCCCAACCCTACAAACAGCATCAAACAGCGATGAACCGCGAAAAGCCCATAGGAGCCCCGCTCAGTCCTTTTGCAGGGTCGGGTCTTCAGGCCACGCAGCTCGGCCTGAGGAGAGGGAGTTTCCTCTGGCCGGGAGATGCGCTGAAGGATTTGCACCAAAAATCATGCGGAGATCAGCCTGACAGTGGGGGGAAGGCAGCTCTTGCATGCCTGGAGACAGATGCCGCTTACAGGCTGTCAGCGGCAAAGTCTTGCAACCCCAGCAAGGGCGCCTGCTTCGAATTCCAATGCTTCCATGGCTCTGACCGCAAAGGAAGCAATGGAGGCATGCGGAGCTCATACCAACGATATGGACTTTCAGCCCTTTAGAAAGCTGTGCGCAGAAGTTGGGATGCAAAGAGGTTGTAGACACGTTGCAGACCGGCAGTCTTCCACACTGTCTTCCACCTTGCGTGAAGATGCTGATGAAGAAGATTTGCTCGGGTTAGCTCGGGTTCGCTGCTTCGCTGATTGGATCCAAGCTCATGCATCCATGTGTAACCTCGAGACATGAGCATGCATAGCAAAAGTGATCGTCACGATACATGGGCTCGACAAGCAAACTGGGCCACGTGTCGGATTTTTGGGCTTGGCAGCCGGCATTAGCACACGATCTGTCTAAACGACAACAACAACAATAAATGCAATTCTCGACGCCAAACCTAAGTGAAACAGAAAAACATCGCTTCGCGAAACTTTGTCTTTCAAAGCGCAAAGATGTTCCGCGGTTGGTGGAACTTGCTGGTGATCTTACGACGTACATGCAACCATAGGCAACCCAGTCGCTGGACAGTGTGTCGAACTTCGGTGCGCTTCCGTGCAATAACCCCTGCCGACTTCTCGGTGTGGAGTGTCTTGAATCCTTGAAGGCAGTCACCGCAAGCATCACCTGGTCAGATGCTGTCTTCAGAATGCGCCCGGCACCGAGCCCTGAAGCTTGGAAGCCCGAACATGCTTGTGTAAAAGCCGATTTCTATGAGGGCCGCACAGAGGGACGTCTCGAACACCTGTCCATTTGGGAGGAGCCTGAGGGACAATTGGCAGTCCGGATCTGCAGTCTTGCGAGTTTGAGTGCGGCCTCGAATTGGTAAGGCGTCTCCATGAAAGATAAGAGAGCCGTGCTGGGGCCATCCTTCGAAGCAGTCAACCAGCTTGAAACACGTCGCAACTCGTCGGCATGCGAAGTTGGTGGCCCTCGGCTCCTGGAAACCGAGCATGTCCTGTGTTGCCTGGCGATGTGGAGAGTCCCGATGCCTGTGCATTATGCAACCGCTGCCTTCAGCAGACGTCGGGCAACACGCCATTCACCCTCTGAGTAGTTCTGGTACCTGGCAGCCCATGTTGGCGCTACATGGATGAATCAACTTAGCCTAGTACCCAAACAGCCATGCGTCTTTTTATTTTGCTCTTGCGCGCTGTTTGCTTCGGAATTGCTGGCCACCTGAACACCTACCGACCCCACCACGGACCACCCAGCACCGGACGAGCAACCGGCCGCTACTGACTAGACAACGGCCGTTTAGCCGACAGGACCACCAACCGACAAGACCACCGACTCGAGCACCGATCGGACCACCAGCAAACAAAACCAGTGAATTACAGACAGGACTACCTACCGGTCGCCACCGACAAGACGGGACCGGCAACTGGACCACCGAAGGGACATCGAACGGAACAGCGCGTGTTCCACTGAATTGAGCAGTATGAGCATTTGCGTGCTTACGCGGACGCTGGCATGGAAACAGTCCCATTGCAATCGTGTAGGAAGCCGGTCACCCCATGTTGAAGAGCTGCAGGAACTCAGTGGTGTAGAGCTTTCGCATAGCTTTAACATCGACGCTAGCGTTGATAAAGTCTTCAACCTGCCACAGGAAAGCTCATCTCCTTTTGTTGTGGGCTTCCAAGACAGGCCAAGCTCACAATGTTGACCTCGCTCGTCAATTTCTTCGTCTTCTCCACCTCTTTCAATGCCGGAAAGCCATTGCATGCCATGGTACGGACACAAGTGTTATCATGCCTCGAAGAGCTGACGTGCTTTGAAGCGCTGCCGCACACTCCACTCCAGCGCCGTACTGCAGGCATCCAGCATCATGACAACTCATACAGCACAAGCCGACTCTCTTGTCGCAGCTACCAGCCTGTACTCATGCACCGGTACTCGATCAGTCTCCTGAAGCTCGTCTCATCGGACTGATGCAGCAAGGCAATCATCTCAGGCAGCCGCCACATCGTACACATACAGGCTCAGAGGAGTCTTCGACCCCTTCATGTTGACCTGCCGAAGTGCGTGCTGGTGTTCCAATCATGCTGCATGAGGCACTCAAGAGCACAAGAACTTCGGCCTTATCTATGAGTCTGCACTGTCGTGCTAATGCCTGTCAGAGGCAAAGCAGGGAGGGGAGAGAGTGCGAGAGCGAGAGGCACCCGATGGGCGGGAAACGGGGAGAGCGAGGCAAGGGCAGAAAGGGAAGGGAGGGAGCTCCTGACAAGAAACGAGCACGCAAAGCGACTGACTTTTCAAGTGCAAGCAACTTAGCTTCGTACCTTGGAGCACGACGTTATGCAATCTTGCGAAGCCAGAATGCTGACGTGGTACACCTGATGTGAAAGGCAAACTTCCGTGCCCGTCGATGTAGTCGGCATGGCTTCAGGACACAACGAACCGAGTTTGCCTTCGTGGCGAATTCCAAGGTCTCCGCAATGCTCACGTTCGGTGAAAGGTACGACCTCACAGTTGGGGCAGAGTTTGAATCGCGGACTAACGGAATTCATGGCCTGCCATGGCCTGCCTCCCCCACTCGAACACGATCCAGCACAAGTGCACACTGATGCACACTGCAACATGACACACCCAGCCGAGCTTCACCTGCAATCACCTTCACCTGAAGCTTCAGTCGCTCCCTCTGTTGGTTGGCCATGGGCGGTCGAATCAGCTTCATCCGTTTATGCCACCGCGTATCTTGCGTGGACTTCGACTCTGGGAGGCGCTAGCAAAGCTTCAGCATGGGGGCTCCGCCGAGCAGGTGCTTGTGCCTGTTCATCCTGGTTCAATGCCCCCTTGATCCACCGACCTGCCTGAAGCTGAGTTCGGCTGCTACGTGCTGAGTTTCCCAGACACATAGATTAGCCAGTGCCAGACTGTAGCCGAATATGGCCAATACACACCAATCTCCGTACACACATTCACCCGCACACGAGGATTCGGATACGAGAACGCCGTAATCTCCAGAGACTGTGCATGCAACATCATGCAACGGCAGCGGTGAACCCTTTCTGGCAAAGATGGCTAAACTGCTGAAGTCTGGAAGCAAACACTTGCTGGGCCAACAACAAGTCACCCACGGCTCAAAAGAAAGCCTAAAACGGCCAAGGGAGCGACGCATCAATCTTGAACTCACTGCCGACAGCGCCCTGCACAGTTCAGTCAGATCGGAAGAGCAAGGAAATGAAGACCCGATCTTATCTTCGATGTTAAGCCGACTGAAGGTCTCGACTGCTAGCTTCTGTGACAGTGACAATGCGCTTGTGGGACTGTCGGCAGTGAAATGCATCGCTCGTGTTCCAAGCGGCAAATACCTCCATAGTTCGTACTCCGAGTGTTTCACTTGTACTTTGTATTTTGCCAGCATAAACCCGAAACAGTGAGGCGCTACATTGAGGCTCCAAATTTTTTATTTTAACGGAAAAATGGAAGATCACCCCATGAGTCCAAACTGCACGCCACACTGTGGATGAAGATGCATGGGCCCGTAGTGGCAGCAGACAAAGCACAGGACTGTGGCTGGAACACGGTTGCTGGAGACGGAAACACGAATCGCATCCAACAAAAACACGGTGTATACCGTGGCCGGAGAACGGTTGCCGATTGCCGACTTTGGAAAACTCCCACATCCGTCAAAACCGCAGGACTTCAAGACCACATCAAGTCTTGGCCCCAACCGAATGAGGTTCGCCTTTTCCAGCGATGTGTCAAAGCCCGAATGAGGGCGGGAATGTGCCCCAAAGCGCCACAGACAGAACCGGCTCTGCGGTCGGATTGCAATTCATTAGCTTCGGAACCGCCACTTTCTTGGAATGTACAATGAATTCGTTGTCCTCGGCGGACGCTTCTCATCGTTACTGTGGAAAACACACGAATGATGTGCAAAATGCGCACCGTCGCAGCAGGATTCAGCGGGAGCCGTGGAACCGCCGGGTGCGCCAGATCTTCAGACACGCTGTATGAGTTTTACCTATAGCCTATAGCCACTAGTCAGCACTTCATGGCATCATGCCTCGATTGCCCAACCGCGGTGAAGACCAAAGCTCAAGTTCACTCTGCAGTGAGCTCCAAGTCTTTGGATGAGACCTCAGCTGGCAAAGATCTGAGGTGCAGGAAGTTGGTCTAAATGCAGCCGCGGAGTGTATCCCACACCGGATTAGGGATTCAAAAATTCAAAACCTAAACTACAGGTAGAGACTGAAAGCAGTAAGCCCAAGCCGTTGGAGCTAAATTCCACCTCAGGGCCTGAGCTCACAGCGATGCCCTCCGCGCAGGGGTTCGCCAAAACCCCCGAAACAAAATCTTTTATGGGTGCACCCCGTTGTCGCCTCCATGGCAACAAACAATTGAATTGTGCCTTCTGCCTCCATTCCGAGGCAATATCACTTTGTCTACGTATGTCCACTAGGGTTCGCGATCAATGTTCGAACGACACACAGTCGTCCCGGATCCCGAGTATCACGACACTGTGACACAAAAGGAAGCGGGACGACTGCCGTTCCAGTATTGCATCGTGGAGACATGTAGGCTAGCATCAGACTTGGCCTGCGCTGGTTTGTAGAGCTGGAGATGAGTCAAAAAGCTTCGTATGAAGACACACCAGCAGCAGTTCGCAGAACTGAGGCCAAGACCAGGATGCCCGCGGTATTCTGCCAAGGTTTTGTTGGTATGGGTGCAGCCCAAAATCCTGCCGCCGGCTTACGTTACAGGACAAGTCAAAAGAACCAGCGAAGACAACAATCGACAGGTGTGTGCTGAATGTTTATGATGCTTGCCAAGCACGAGATTCTCCCCAACTCCTCACCCGGTCCTGACACAGGACACCACTGCCATGTCGGCGAGCCGCGTCTGCTGTTCGTAGCTCAGGCCTGCATCATCGCCACTGCAGAAGTAGCAAGCAATGGCAGGTAAACAACGTGGCAGGGAGGCTAGTGGAGTATATGAGGTCGCTCGCTGACTCTTTTTTCTAGGCGCACGCGTCATTCTGTACCGAACTGTGCCAAGAGGAATGGCAATCACCACGGTTAGTCCAAGCATTTTTGGGCTGGATTTTTGCGGGGTTGAACCTTAGATCGCAGCTCTGACAATGCAGCGGCACAAGCAAAAGTCCCAACTCCAATCGCTTCTGCAAGCCCAGCTGTGCTGGATACGACAACCATTTTCGACATCGGTATGTCAAGTGGGCGTCCTGTTGAGCATTCCGGTCCGCATGTCGGGCATCAATGCCGAAATTCCTGGTTGCGTCGATATTCCTGGTGTGGGCGCTCCACCGGCTGACGTCTCGTACAAACAGCTGCTTGGATGCAGTAGTTTGTAAAACAGCAGTAGCAGCAGCAAGGTCAGTACAAGTGCCTGCAGTAGCACTGACTCGTAAGTGTTGGCTGCAGTGCAGGTCATCGTCGCAGCCGCCGTTGTATGTCGTCGTCGTTGCCGTCGCAATGATGGAGGCGGCGGTGGTGTAGTGATTGGAGTTGAGGCATGTTGAGGCCAGAGGTTTGAGGGTTTGTGGAGCTTGGAAGTGTTGTTTGAGGGTTTGAAAGGGTCCAGGTTTAGGAATGACGTCGCAACGTGCGATTCCAAGCGTGGGGCATGGGGTTGAACACTCGTCCGTCTGTCGCGGCGACTTTCGCGAATCTTTCGCACAAAAACTACTACGGTTTTCACAGAGCTGGCATTCCAACGCTCAGCCTGGGTATGCAAGTGCAATTGCAGTAGGGCATGTATGCCTGCACAGTGATGGCATGTTCCCTTTAGGGCTTATATGCATCAAGTCTGTTACATAAAACTCTTGCTTTCGCGGATTACTGCGCTCCGCTCGCAAACCCGTCACAAAACAGTCGCAGTCCCAATGCAATACCTCGGAGGCACAACCAAAGGGGCGGACCTTTAGATCAATGCTCATATGTATAAACCTCAACTTACCATCATTATGAAACCATGCGACCTGTCTTTGCCTTCATTGTTATCGTTGTTGCCTTTTGGAGAAGCCAGGATTGGCTGGCTGTCCGAAACTTGGGGGCTCTGGACAAGTGCCGAGAAGGGAAGGCGTGCCTTGTCAGGATGGTCTGGCCAGTGCGGAAGGTCCAGATCTTTAGCCGCACTCTTGCACACGCAGGAGATGGAGTGAGTAAGCCATTGAGTCTGCGAGTGAGTGGAGTTGGCTGAATGACTTGTGCGGATCATCAAGGCCAGGCTCACTGAGAACCGACATGCACTGCAACCCTGTGGTCGGCGCTTGAGCGTGGGAACCGACATGCACCGACCCTGGAATTCTTCACGGATCCAAATGTCATGCTTACGGGTACGCAGAGTGGCCAGCAGGAACTCCAACACAAATAGGATTAGCTCCCTCTACTGGGATCCTGGGTGCATCCAGTGACTTGTTCATCCAGTTACTAATCAAGGAAATCACCGGCAAAAAACAACAACACACTCATGACCCGCATGTCTGGTGAACTTTATGGAGTCGGGGAATGAAGTGAGTTGTAGTGGGTCGCAAAGTTCATGGCTTCTGCAGTGCATCCGCAAAGCAAAACTTTCCAGATGCACCACGGTGCGGCAACTGGCATTATGGCCGCCGGGTCATGTATTAAACCCAGCGGAATCTGAGACATGCCGCAGCTGGTGGCTGCATAGCGCACTGTGGCTCTCTCTTGAAGCAACGGGAACATCTCGACCCAGCATCAACAGCATCATTGGTTCCTCGCTTCTCCTTTAAATCCTTTAGATGCCTCTTGGCCAGGATGGGAGCACCACGGCGCAAAGGGACGCCAAAGTACCCATGATTCCGAGTGTGGGTTCAGACCAGCTAATTCCTGGAAAGACTCCGAGTTCGAGACGCGGCGGGTTTGTGCTGTCGTCAACACCATTCTTCAGGATCTCTGCTCCGTGCCTTCTTTTGAAATCGCTGTGCGCAAGTGCTGCTGACGGTGCAAGCAATCAGTGGTTTATGTCTGACTCCGGTTCGGCTCGTTCCTGACACGGTAGCCTCTCGTGCGCAAGAGGCTGTCAACTCAGCAGCCGATGTCTCGTGGGACGTTCGTTGGGACGTGTCGACCCATGCTTGCGGAGGTGAGTCTATCAGAGCGTATCACGTGTCATGAATCGGCATTCGCGATCTGAGCAAGCTAGTCCACGTCTCTCAGACACTCCGGCGAACCAATCAGAGTTTCCTGTGCCGATCATGGTGATGCACCTGTCCCAGGGAATCATTTCGCTCGAGCTTCGCAACACCTTCTACGACGCTCACTCCATTTCTGTCGCCGTGGGAACCCACTTTCGCAAGTCTGAGATCGCGTGCCTGCGGTCACCTCCTGCCAAGCCTTGAGTCGTCTCGTCACGTCTTACTACAGTACTCTCCCGATGTCCTCAAGAGAAACTGGATCTCTTCTCTGAGCCCAGAAACCTGATGTCTCTCGACTGTATGTCTGAACTCAGCTCGTCTGTTGATTCGTCTGGCTCTGGCGTGCCCTCTGCAGTCTTCGACAATCAGGCTCGCGAAAATCCAGGGCACACATGTTGCAGCTTCATGCATGACCCTCGCGCTTCAATTGCAAGCCTCCAAGTTGCCAGATTAGGAGGAAGCGATCGCCTGGTTGCGTCTCACAGCCCGTAGTAGTACAACTGTAGGCGACAAACTGCTGGATGCTGCAAAGTCCAATGACTCCCGGCGCTTTGACGAAGCACAAGCTGTCTCGGTACGGCACCACTATTCTTGTTGGGAGCGCCATGGAACTCGCAAACGAGGCCGTGAACCTTGCCATAGATTGTCATCGTCATTGCACGGCTCTGAACATAAATGGTTGTGCCGCAAATCTTCTCAGGTGCAGGCGATCTCCGCAATTTGGTTGACGAACGTCATGACCTGGAATCCCAATTGGACTAAAATGCACATGCTCGTGTTGAATGGTTCGCAAAGTTTTCGGCTAAGGATGGCAATCATCACTTCAAGACGAGGTGTGACGCCCACGCAATGCCGTGTAGAGGCATGAAGAACGATGCCAGTTTGTTCGCTACAAGATGCCAAAACGCTCTTACAGGTTTGGACTGGCGAGCGTGCATGAAGGCAAAGGTAATGCTGTTCGAAGTAGTTCTTGTACATTCAGATGAGTTGAGATGTATGGGGATAAGCCGCAGTGTGTGCGACCCATACAGCGATGAGTGTTCGCGAACATAAACCAGCTGAGCAGCAAGCCGAGCAGCACTGTCAGCACGTGTGCTGGAAAAAAAGCTAAGGATCAGGTTTCATGCTTGTGACGTTGAGATTATCTTTTCGTAGGATTCACATGCAAGGAAGGTTGACATCAATGCCAGGCCTTGCCCTGCAGAACCTCCGTGGCCGTGCTGAAGTCACGGATGCAGGCTGACCCGATGATGCAATCCACACGACTGCCTTGCGGCTGTGCAGTGTTGTGAAGCACACCTTCGTGACGACGGCTTGGATCAACGAGGCTGAGTCTGCAGCCTGGGACCATTGCATTCACGCCTGCGGAGTCGAGGCCCTGCATGTTGTCAGCCACAATGCTGGCGCCGGCCTGCACCAATCCCCAAACTGTCACTCGTTCGTCCCTGACAGAGGACAGCGCGATGCACCTCTCCGAAGCCGAGTGCGAGCAGTGAGCCAAGCCTCACTTGTTTGCCAAGGGAAGTCTTGGGGCTGCAAGGTCTTCGAAACGGCTTTGAGCCGGAACTGGAACGTAAGGTCATGAGACTGGCGGACCCTATAGCTGCACGCAGAGCACCAACTGTAGCAAGGGGCTTGATAATAGTCTTCTCGAGCACTGCAGTCTCCATCATCCTGAGCTTGTCCCAAGCAGATCCAACAAACATGGTTAGACTTGAACTCTGCACTCGGGCACAGTGTAAGCTTCACACGCATCGTCTCCAGAGGTGCTTCCTGACGTTTGACCATGCATTCCAAGCTGTACTAAAAGCACAAACCACTTGTCACTGTCTGGAGAGCATCTTCGTAAACCAAGGGCCTATAGGATGCCTATAGGTGTGAAGCGCATGCTATAAAAACTGCCGGACCTGTCGAGAACCAGTTGAGAATTCGAGACCTGGACGCAGCGTTGATATCACACAGCGCAAGACAACATGCACGTGTACTCAGTTTATCATGAACGATCAAGCACATATGGGTCTCGGATAGTGACGGGTAGTGATACTGTGGGATCTATAGCTTCGGAGGCAGCAATGCCGAAGCTGCACATGACAACTGCCGGATCCAAACATCAAACGCGGCGGCTAAAGCAACATGCCGAGGACACAAGCAAGACAAGTGGTACTTCTCCAGCCAGATGCTTCGCTTCTCCCTGTCGGTGTTTGTCGTGGGTGCAACTCTCTGTGCGACTGTCCAGCAGACATTCCCGTGCAGCCTTGTGGTATTGGCCTTGAACTTTTTGATCTCTTCTCCCTGCGCTGCACATGCCGCAGGGGTCAAGGCCCACGCCCTCTCGTGCTTCCCGAAACTTTGCAGCCTTGAACTCGTCGTCTGCCATCTTCATGGCAGCGAGTGGGTTGTCGCGAATCAAGTTGACCTCGCAGCAGTGCAAGCAACATGCTCCAGCGAAGCCTGCAGAACGGAGCATTTCCGGCGACAACCCCCATACTCACCAAAATTTTTGCAAGCACACCAGCACGAATTCAGGCCATTGTTCGTACCGTGATTACTTGCAGCTGATGCCCTCAGCACCTTGCCGCATGACTGCTCCCATCAGCAACTCGGAGCTACTATCCCAGTCAAGGGCCCACGTTGAGATCCAGGCCTTTTCGATCATGCGCTCCACAGGACGCAATACCAGAACGTTTGCATCCTGGCCAATGGTCAGCCAACGATCGCTTCTTGCTAAGCCGAAATGTGTACTGAAGCTCGTCTGGCAGCAGCAATAGCTGGCTTTTACACGCGTGGACCCTCGGCTCCACTGATGCTGCCCTGCACGGACAACCTTCATGCATACTACTTTGCAGGCGATGACAGTAACAGCTCACCGGTACCTGTGGAGGTTGCTGCTTGACCGCAAGGCACATCGTGAGAGTTGCGTACTCGCGACATGCTGCCAGATTTCCATATCATTCCTGCAACTGCGAGTTTCAAGTCCAACTGGCATTTGAGCATCTGTTGGAATTGGTTTCGGTCGAATGCATTGTGCCACGAGGAGGCTTTTGGCGACAAGAGGCTGTCAGCAATTGCTTAGCCTCCAAACCCCAAGCCGTAGGTCCAAACGCAAAACAACGAAACTCTCGTAAACCCTGAGCCGTGGGCCGTAACGTCCATTTTGTTATGGGGGCCCTTGGCTCCGAAATAGCCTTTTTCGTGAGGGCTGTAACGGATTTTCCGTAACAGTGCAATTCCCGTAAGAGCGCGCTTCTTTGGCTTTTGGATGCCTTTGGGTTCTTGAAAGGGTTTCCAGGGGCTTCCTAACCAGAAGTTATGCTAACTACGGGCCTCTTGCGATTTTGGGTTTGGCTGCCCGTAGCTCGCCCTTCCGTCAGGGAGCCTTTCGCGCAAGGGGGCGCTTACAGCATGAAGGCACTTCCATGCACTTCCTATCAAGAGTTTTTACCGGCCCGCAGAGCTTACCATAAACAATCCTTCGCGTAAAGACGCTTTCCCGTCAAGAAGCGGGCTCTTGAAATCCGGACCTGGAGCAGTTTGGGGCCTTCGCCAACGGGCTTCCTCGTCAAAGGGTCTTTCCTCCACGCAGCGCGTCCACAAGTTCTTTTCCCAAAGGACTCCTTTCTCGTAATGGTGCCTTTCCTGGAAGGAGGCGCTTGCCGTAAGGAGCTCTTGCCGTAAGGGAACCGGTTCCCAAAGGGCGGGTCCGCAAGGGGCCCTTACAAAGTAAGTGACCTTCCCCCAAGGGTGCGCTTCCTGCATGGGCTTGTCCGGGTTTCTGTAAAATTCCTGTAAGGAGCTCTTCCCAGAAGGGGGCTTTCGGCTTTCCCATAAGAAAGGGCGCTTGCTGAAAGGGGCCCTTGCCGTAAGCGTTTTGCCTTGTCCATAATAATAAGGGCACCTTTGCGGGCCTTTTGAGAAGAGGTTCCCGATAGCTCAAGCCGTCTAGACTTTTATGAAGCTGGCTCAGGTCAAACATCCTGCACCCCAAGGGGCCTCTTCCTGTAAGGGGCTTGAATGGCTTGAGTTGGGGCGTGAATCTCTGAACAGTTTCTATTGACGAGTCTTTCTGCGAAAATGAATCGTCCCGTTCTGAGACCTCGCCTCGCGGCTATCCTCTGGTTTTCTTGTTGGGCTCACACCCTGTGTTCGGGGTGCCGCACGAGACTTTTGCATCGGTTGGCCAGCAAGCAAGTATCAATCAACTAAATCTCAAAGCACTAAACCCGCCAAGGCTGAGATTGGGAGAGTACGTGCACTTGTGCGACACCACAACGCACCAGAAACTGCTTAACCCCAAATCCGAAACGCTCACAACCTTAATCCCCAGTTGCCACCAGAAACCTAAATAACAAATTCCAGACCCCGTACCTAACTCGCCCTCCAACTTTAATCCGAAGGCCCAAACCCCAAAACCTCCCAAAAGCCCAGCCCCCTAAGCCTCAAAACCTCATCCCCAAACCGTCCTAAGCTCGAAAACCACAGCCTAGTCACCTAGTCCGCGCCTGGCCCAAAGCCGGAGCTATTTAGCCCAAGCCAACGGCATGGGCTCTAAACACTGAGCGCTCTTATACAACCCTAACACTTAAACCCAACACCGTAAGCACGAAACCCTAAACCGTTGTTGGAGACCACACGGTCAACACCGGTTAGCTCAAAACACCCCAAGGCATGGGCGAGATTAACTCCTTTTACAACCAGAATCCCCACTTTACAACCAGAACCCCCACTTTACAACCACAGACACTGTTTTCGATGTGAGAATCCCCACTTTACAACTGTGGATCCTGAGAATCCCCGCTTTGCAACCAGTCTGTTTGCATGTCTGCATGTCTGTCTGCATGTCTGCATGTCTGTCTGCATGTCTACATGTCTGTCTATGACAACATACACCCGCTAAAATGAAGATAAAGATGCGAAGTATTGCTTAGGATGCCCTGTCTACGACAACCCACACCCGCTAAAACCAAGATAAAGATACAAGTATTGCCTAGGATGTCCTGTCTACGACATTACACACTCGCTAAAATGAAGATAAAGATAGGGAGTATTGCCTAGGATGCCCTGTTTACGACAACCCACAGCCGCTAACAACAAGATAACCCACACCCGCTAACAACAAGATAAGGATACGAAGTATTGCCTAGGATGCCCTGTCTATTGACAACACACACCCTCTAAAACCAAGATAAAGATACAAGTATTGCCTAGGATGTCCTGTCTACGACATTACACACTCGCTAAAATGAAGACAAAGATACGAAGTATTGCCTAGGATGCCCTGTCTACGACATTACACACTCGCGAAAATAAAGATACGAAATATTGCCTAGGATGCCCTGTCTACGACAACACACACCCGCTAAAACCAAGATAAAGACATTAAGTATTGCTTGGTCTTCCTTTTCTATGACCAAACAAAACCGTGCAAACCAAGATAAAGGTACTAAGTCGAAGCAGAGTGCTCTTTTCCTCCTAAGTGCCCCGCCACAAGCGCAACTTTGTGGCTCAAGAACCTGCCACTAGCTAAGCACTCACTGGTGTAGGAAATTGATCCAAGTGTTCGAGCCATTTCCGGCTGCACAGACCTTCGGCTGAGCATCGCCTGGCAACAAGAAACTTGCGTCCGAGTGCCTATGAATGCGAGAGTGAACATCAACTACTACCTGAGTTCAAGTAACTCGGTGAGGTGAGCGACCAAGGAAGCATCAATACCGAACCCTCACGCACAGACACAGACATATAACATATAGTATATAGCCATATACATATGTATATATATGTCCATATATATGTATACGTCTTGGATTCGGCTTAAGAACGCCCACATTGCAACCAGCAAGACTTTCCAACCTGCATGGTTGCTGTAACGGATGCTGCTGGAGGTTCCAGGCTTTGACGTTCTCAGTTAATACGCTTGTTAAGAAGCAATCGCAACCGGTTGCAAAGTGGGGATTCTGGAAAGGCTTGTGGGTTGTGAAGTGGGGACTCTGGTTGTAAAGTGGGGATTCTGGTTGTAGAAGGGGGTACACGCTGGCATGGGCCCCGAAGCCACAACTTCCAAGCGCAAGTCCGAAACTGTGGGGAAAAGACATGGGCAACACAAAAAACAGTATTCTGTTAACCCCTCAAACAACGACAGAACAGTGGTTGCTCAGTTGTCTGGACCTCCAGGCTGCCGCAATTCTTGAGAGTATCGAATCTCTTGTGTTTTGTGCTGCCGAACTCGAACTGTTGGCATCAACGCCATCTATCCCGCCGAGGTTGGATGCTGTGCAGTGAAGCTGCTTCCGAGATCAGTTAACGGTGGAAAAGCTGTCTTTTCAGCCGAGTCCGGGAAGACGGTTCCTTCCCAGACATTACTGCAATGGAGTTCTGCTCTGATGCTACAGTTTCCATGGCGAGGTCAAATCCTGCAGTACAGGACGCTCTGTTCAAACGATACAAGTCTCATGTTCTGTTGCCCCCACTCGTGGCTCGTGACGAGCTTGTGTTTTGTAAGCCTGCGGAAAAACAGCTGCATGGTCTTGGATTATGCTACAATGTGTTACAAGGATTTTGGCGACAGCTCTCGCAGCACAGGCTGGTCGGAGCCCCTCAAGCACTTGCATTATGGAGAGTGGGCCTTGGCAAAGGTGTGGGCTCTTGTGCGGTTAACATGCCAATGGCCGTTAAGCTCGTGGTCCGACCAAAACACCCCTGACACTATTGACTCATGCCAGCACTGTGGCCTGCAGGAAGCGAGCGTTGCACATGCTCTCTGCCACGGCCCGCATTCGTCAACAGTTTCTGCGGACTTTCCTTGTTTGTGAGCAGGGCTAGAAATCCAGAAACATTGATGCATATTTTGTTTCACAGCACGATCTTGGGCGAAGTGGACGAAGCAGGGGTTCGGTGTGTAGGCTTGGTTGTGACAGCAGCTTCGAAGCACCACTCGAAGTTCTGAAATGCTCGATCGTCGCAGGGTTCTTCGGGTTCGGTAGCTCCGTGGCGGTGCATTTAGTCATGCTCAAGGGACTTTCTGACGAAAGACTTTAGCATCTTGTCCGTGTCCGTTGCTGCTTACGTATGGCTTACATTGTATGTGCACTGTGAAGGTACCGCGCAGCCCACCTCAGCCCTCACACTCGTGCGTGCAAGCCGGGCTGACGACTTTTGAATGAGCATTCAGCATTGACATGATTGTAAACTGTAAACAGTGTAAACCACAGCCTCCACATGCGTCCAGGGCTTTAGCTTTACAAACGTCGACAAGCGGTAGGGAAGTGCCGACCGCCGCGTGTGAGTTGTGACATTTGTCCTGCCTGTCCCTGCCTTCGCCGTGACATGCTGCAACTCTGTTGGGGTCACCCTTCTGCCAGGTTTTCTCCTCCACCTCGCCGCTCGGTGCGCCACACCGAGCGGTGCAGGAATGGCTGCTGTCGAAGATGACGAGGCCACCCGGGGTCCCACCCCTCACCGCCCCCGCCCCTCGCCACGCTCAGTTTCTCTTCCACCCTCGAGGCCACCCTTCTCAATTCTCCCATCGTGATGCTCACGCTGCCGCGGTGAAGCCACCTCCCTCCTTCACATCTCCCCTCACCGTGTCCTTCTTCTCCCATTGCGAAGCTCGCTGCGCTGCCCAGCGGGATTCTGGCATACTTCATGAGCATTGTCATGGAATATATCCTTGCCGCATCAGCCGCGGAACATGTGGCCGGAAGCAGCTGCTTCTGACTGTTCAGGGATTTGGGAACGTTGGCAATTGAAGTGTTTAGGCAAGAGTTGCAGTTTGTTTCGACTCACAGGCCATGGCGGTCATGACTGTTTGAACGGTATGGGGGCAGGGCATGAACAGACAAGACCACGAAAGGCAGCATTGAGGGTGCTGGATATTGGCCTGACGCATGCCGGTACCATTCCAGAAGTACTGCTTCTGGATGCTTCGCTTCAATGAAGGACAAGCACGTGCAAGAACACACGTGTAGATGTAAGATTCGTGCAGCAGTTTAAGCATGAATACATCGAAGTCGTCTGAAGAGGAGATGTGGATGCCGTGGAGTGACTGTAGCTCTATGCGTATGAGTATAAACGGCTCCACACACACACACACATATATATATATATATATATATATGAACCCGGTTCTCGGTTCACCGACCCCCTCCCCCCCCCGCTCGCCCGCGAACCACACCACCCACAGGGAGGGGGTAAGCAACAATCACAGGGAGGGGGGAAGCAACCCACA